CGACTGTTTCGTCCTAACCGAGACTTGGCTAAATGTTAACTTTTTTGATGCGGAGTTCTTCAACACAGCTCTCTTTGACGTTTTTCGCAAGGATAGAGATTTTGCTAAAACTGTTGTTAGTAGGGGTGGTGGTGTGCTTATTGCTACACGCAGCTATCTTCGTGCTTCTTTTTATGAGCTGCCGGGTTCCAATTCCGTGCTGGATCAACTTTGCGTAAAATTACAAGGTGCGTGTGGTGTGCTGTATATTTGCGTGTCCTATATCCCGCCGGGCAGCTCGGATGTCATATATAAGGCACATATTGACAATATCCTAGCACTTCACGAGAAAATTGGTGACAGTCAACTTTGTGTCTTAGGCGATTTCAATTTAGGTAATATTTCTTGGAGCTTTATGGATAATGATAATTTTCTCACTCCATGTAATGTTAATAGTTTATGCGAATCTTACGTAATTGATAACTTGCTATGTATTGAATTGTCACAGATCAATGGTTTTCTAAATGAACTTAATCGAATTTTAGATTTAATATTTGTTAGCTCTTATATTAATTTTAAGCTCTCGCATGCGGCCAGTAACATCTCGCCTTCCAATCTGCATCATAGTCCACTGGTGTTGGAAATTGAATTTTTTAAATATTTTGAACTCCCAGGTAGTAGTAAAACAGTTGCTTTTAACTACTCGCGTTGTAATTTTGTGGAATTAAATAATTTGTTTGAGCTGGATTGGTATCGGCAATTTGAAAATGTGGATGTAGCTGCCCGTTACGATATTTTTAAATCTATTATAGTTGACACTTGCGTGATGATCCCGATGTTAAGTGCTAAACCTTCGAAGCGGCCGTGGTTCTCTAGAGAACTCAAACGACTAAGGAACTTGAAGAATACGTTTTATACAAAAGCAAAAGCATTCTAATGATGTTAATTTTCGTGAGCGGTATGTGTCTTACAGAGGTAAATTCAACAAACTCAACAAATCTTTGCATCGAAATTATATTCGTAATATAGAAAGCAATATTAAATGTAACCCCAGGCCTTTTGGAGTTACATAAAAGCTAAGAAAAACTGCTCAAATATACCTGCGTCGGTTCATCTTAAAGGGGTTTCAGCTAATTTCATCTCTGATGCTGCTAATCTGTTTGCCAAATTTTTTTCAGACAATGCTGATCATGGCTTTGTCCCTGACGATCTCCTGTTTAATTCAGATACTTCCATCAACTTCGGGAAATTAGACTTGACTGTCGAAGATGTCATTGATGGCATGAAACAGTTTAAGCCATCCACTAATACAGATGTTGATGGCTTATCGGTCGTTCTAATTAAAAGTTGTCCTGCCTTGATTAAGCCTCTATGGCACATTTTCAACATGTCACTTGCTGCTAGAGTCTTCCTTGATGACTGGAAATTGACTTTTATTACGCCTATCCTTAAAAGCGGCAATAAAAATGATATTGAGAACTATAGGCCAAAGCTAACCACAGTTTCTAAACTGTTTGAGTGCATAGTTAAGGACAAAATATACTTTGCCGTCAAACATATGATATGTCCTAATCAACATGGGTTTGTTCCGGGCAGATCTACCTTAACTAATTTAGCTGCCTTTACGGAGTATTGTCTGGATACCTTTCAAAGTGGTTTTCAAATGGATGCAATCTACGCAGATTTTTTTAAGGCTTTTGATAGGATATCTCACCCAATGTTGATAGCTAAACTTGAGCGTCTAGGCTTTTACTCCCAATTTCTAAAGTGGATAACTTCCTATTTATATAACAGACAATGTGTCGTTCGACTCGATAATGTATCGTCTTACTCTTTTGTTGCTTCCTCTGGTGTTCCCCAGGGTAGTGACCTAGGCCCGTTACTATTTGTTCTTTTCATTAATGATATTTCCTCATGTTTTTCTAAGTGTAATTATCTTCTATACGCGGATGACCTGAAGACTTATTATGAAATTAAATGTCCAGAAGATTCATCCATTCTCCAGTGTGAGTTGGATAACTTATATAGTTGGTGTGTGCGTAATCGTTTGCTCCTCAACATTAGTAAATGTCACTATTCTTATTATGCGAAAGTTTTCAGTATTGTTCCAACATCTTACTGCATCTCAAACTCGCCGCTAAAGATAATAAGTGAATGTAAAGACCTGGGTGTCTATTTTGACTCCAAGCTCAACTTCACAACTCACATAAATTATATTGTTTCTAAATCGTTCGCTATGTTGGCCTTAATTCGTCGAAACTGTTCTTCGTTTTCTGATCCCTATACTCTCAAACTGTTGTACTCGTCCTTAGTTCGGTCCAGGTTAGAATACGCGGTATTCGTTTGGAGACCGTTTCATGCAGTCCATGTTAATAGATTACAGTCTGTTCAGCGAGCTTTTGTGCGCTTTGCTTTGCGCTCGATGAGTTTTGTAGATCCCATTCCGTCCTATCGCTCTCGTTGCTTACTAATAAACCTCATGTCCTTAGAGTCTAGGCGTGCTATGTTGTCGATGTGTTTTGTCTTTGATATCTGTGCGGGATCAATAGATTGTCCGTACCTGCTCATGAAAATTAATTTTAATGTTCCCTCATGCATTCTCCGCTGTAATGAATTATTTTTCGTGGGTATAGCTAAAACTGTCTATGGGATGAATGCTCCTTTTAGGAGGACGCTAGCACAGTTTAATGCGTATTCTTCTTCCATAGACTTTGATTTCTCATGCTCTAAGTCTACTTTTAAGAATCTACTTGTAAGGCTCTTGTCATAAGGTCTTTGTATTTAACTATCATATAGTCTGTAAATATCCTGTTTGTTGTTGATTAATAATAAATAAATAAATAAATATATGTGCATGTATATACAGGTATACGCGCCTATATATCCATACATATAAAAGCATATATGTACATAGGGAATAAAAGTTTAGACCTAAGGAAACAATGATGCAGGAATAGTATGAAATCGCTTGAATAACTTGAAATAACTCAAACCAAAAAATTTAATCAAATAAAATTAAATAAAGCTAAAGTTTAAATAAATAGATAAACCCAAAATTTTAATGCAATGAAAAGAAAATATATGATATAAAATAACCTTTTACGAAAATGCAACTAAAATAAATTTAAACAAATAAACATTAAAAAATCATAACAACCAATGACCACTATATAATAACAGCAATATAAATAAATATGAATAATAATAATAAACTAAAAAGACGCGAGAAAACAGGAGATTAAAGAAAATATATAAATACCTGGACGAAATCCAAATCAATATACCTATAGGAAAAGTAGAACTGAAAAAAATTACCTAGACTTTATTTAGTTTAAGTTTAGTTAAGTTACCGTATTTAGCATACTAGACTTACCTCGATACTCATACTTACCCTGAGGGGAATACTTACCTTATTTGACTCGTTTTCCTAAATATTGCAAACCGACTTACCTACCTGATTTTTTTTTATCGGACTTACTTACCTGCTTGACTTACCTTAATTATACCGATCGAATNCCCTCGATACTCATACTTACCCTGAGGGGAATACTTACCTTATTTGACTCGTTTTCCTAAATATTGCAAACCGACTTACCTACCTGATTTTTTTTATCGGACTTACTTACCTGCTTGACTTACCTTAATTATACCGATCGAATACTTACCTTTTGACCTTACCCTAGATACTTACCTTACGAATACACTTTACACTTGAAGTACTTATCTTATTTAGAATTCAATTTATTAAATATACTTACCTGAATTAACCTTACATCACTATTTACCTTAGCGTTAGTTTTTTTTTGATGATCACCTTAGGGCCGGTTGTTCAATGTCTGATTAGCACAAATCGGAGGTAGAAGCTCCGGTTAAACACAACTACTGCTTTATCGATCACATGTTACATGCATGATGTCGAAATCGTCGATAGTGTAGTGGTAGTGATAACCAGACATTGAACAACCGGCCCTGAGAGTAAGAACTTTTAGACGTTAGGAACTAGTTTTAAGGAATGATAGGGATTAAGAACTTTAGCGTTAGGAATTAGTTATAAGAATTAGGTTAGGAACAATGAACTTTTATTAATAAATTGTTATTAAAATGGGAATGCTGAGTCGACTCATTATTTAGGAAGGCATGTAGGGACTTTCAATAATGGGGTCATCGGGAATAGGGTGCGCCGGTGCCCATGGATGAGGGTGGGTCAGCACCAGGGGCCACACTTCCACCAGGGGCCCCAACCATATTCGGCCTTAGGTTTTTTTTTTATTGTCTTTAGTTTGGATTTGTTCTCGTTTGATTTTTCAGTTTATTTTAATTTTTACATTTTAACGTTCTTTTTCAGCTTTTTTTTGTTTTGTAATGGATTTTTTGTGAATTTTGAATTGTTGCGTGTCCGTCCGTTGGGATGTTTGACATGCATGACTTTTCTCTGCTATGGCGCAGGGAACAGTAGTGAGGCAAGAACCCCGCCCAGCCGACATGACTAGCCACAGTGCACCCCATTGTGTCATGCCGCCTGCACTCACTGCTGCTCCCAATGTATGCGTACCATAACAATTCGATGGTGAAAAATTCTTTTTTAATATTGCCTGATTATAAAAAGGCAATAATATGACAATCGAAAAAGAAAATAAAGTTATAAATGGCAACGTCTTGATTATAAAAAGGCAATAAGATGACCATCGAAAAAGAAAACAAACCTAAGAATGGCTGCGGGGTGGGGTTTAGTAGCGCTCTCAACTATTTCGGGCAATTCCGTCCAAAGGGGTGGCCCGATCCCAAAAAAAAATTCCACACACTTGTAGTCAAGGGTCTACGCATTATTTTAACACTCACTTTTGTAAATTTTGGTCACTAATTTATTTACAAATTGGGTTTGAAATAGGCGCTTTTTTGTAAAATTCGGAAATTAGCGTACATTTATCACTCCTGTTCTCCTTAAAGCAGCCACTTCACCAATACATTTTTGTATTCCCCTTCACTTTACACTTCACTCGATTAGTTATAACTTGCTTTACGACTTTATTATTAACTAATTAATCACAATTCATTAAATAAAAACACCTTCAAACTCACGCTTCTGACTTTGGTTGCATAAGCAAATTAAATGGCAGAGTTCAGCTGTCAAACTCCAAAATATGCAAAAGAATGAGAGACAAAAGAAGATAGGATATAACCCAGTAAGCATTAAAAATATACAAAGGTGTTCTCTGCAAAAGGTGTTCAGCTCCTTTTCTTCGCAAAACAGAAAGGAGAATTCTACTGCCTGAGGGTTATAATCCCTAAGTGTGGCCGAAGGCCGCCTACGCAGAAAGGAATTCTACGCAAAAATACATTTGTTAAAAAGAACATTTTTTTTATAAAACTTGTTTTTTCTATTTTTAATTAACTTTTTTATTCTTTATTCAAAATCGCCCGATATCTAATTTAGCATAATTTCTTTTATTAAAAAATCCCACGGTTTCTGTTAGTTGGGTCATATTCCACTTCAAACTGCTCAGTTTACCTGAGAAAATTCCGTCTTTCCCCCTTTTTCAAACGGTTCCCTAGGGGCCTGTGGGAGGAGCCCAAGGGGGGGAGGTACGCCTTTTTAGAAAGCGGAAACTGTCCCCTTTCTAGTCGGGGGGAGGGGGTTTGGGGGACTATGAATACGCGCCAATAGGTTTGTATAGTAACCAATAGTCAGTACAAATTTGTACTGGAACCTGCAAATTTTTACTGGAAAAGTGAATGATAACCCAAAAAATTTGCAAGAGAGCACTGAATCGAGGGCGTAACAACACGGGAGAGTTGCAAATTCTTGCTAGTGAAATTTTACTAGGAGAAATTAGCTAACAGAAGAAGAAGAAGAATAAATGTCAAAAGCCGACATTTGTTGAATTGGTTTAACACAAACAAAATGTTTGTATAGTAACTTCTCCAGTAAAACATTGCAGCGAGAGCGTAAAAGCAAAATAGAGCGCAAAATTGAGAAGAAGAGAAAACTAGCAGAAGAAGTTATTGAACACAAAACTAGCAAAAACTTGCAAGTGAACAGTTGTTGCACTGTTTTGACATTCTGCTGTAAACATTTTACTATTTATAAATCAGTTTTAAACTCTTTGCTTTACACACAAGCACTTATACTGTCCAGTACATCATTAATATTTTCATTTCCACTCATTTTACTTTTGTTTGTGCTTAACCAATTCAACAAATGGCGGATTTTGCCATTTATTCTTCTTCTTCTGCCAGCTAATTTCTGCTATTAGCAAGAATTTGCAGCTCTCCCGTGTTGTTACGCTCTCGATTCAGTGCTCTCTTGCAAATTTTTTGGGTTATCATCAGTGTTACCGCTGAAAATTTTTCGAAAGTGGCAAAAAAGTGTCACAGTCGAAAAAAAGTGTCTTCAAGTCATTCGAATCGTTTATACCATTGTATGTAACGACTTTCATTATTTTACCTTTCGAAACTCATTAGGGCATATTCATAGTCGAAATAAAATCGACTCTAACGTTACTTTTAGCTTTTTTTCAACGGAAAATCTGCCAAAAAAGCTGCTTACAGTAGGCTTTATTTCATCTGTGACTATGGCTCATTATTTTTAAGAAATTATTAATGGAGATAATCATTTTTTGTCAAAAATAGTTTTTTCTCTTAAAACAATAACCCATTTATGAGGGACATATTAAAAAGACGCAATACGCATATTTTGCATTTAATATGAAAACATAATTGCAGTTAAAAAAGTACTTACATCAATAAATAAATAATAAATTTAACACAAATAAATTGGGGGAAATGCTAAGCTACAAAAACGGGGCATTAATTCATTCTACTGCTGGCCATTTATTCGGAAAATGTTTGACATAATAAAAAGGTTGAAATCAGTACAAATATGGCCAGAGGTGTAATTTTTAAGTGCCTTTGAAAAGTAAATACTAAAACATAAAATTGTCAAAATGTGTACATGGAATTTTAAATCAAAGAAAAGGAGCAAAGGTCGCATGATTTTTTGGAAAAGTTTCAAAATAAGCCTAATGTTAAAAAGTCGGTGTCAGGGCGCATCGATCTCCAAAAAGTGTCAATTTGACACTTTAGTCGCACAACGGTAACACTGGTTATCATACACTTTTCCAGTACAAATTTGCAGGTTCCAGTACAAATTAGTACTGACTATTGGTTACTATACAAACCCAAAAATAAAATGAGTGGAAATCAAAATATTAATGATGTACTGGACTGTGTAAGTGCTTGTGTGTAAAGCAAAGAGTTTAAAACTGATTTATAAATAGTAAAATGTTTACAGCAGAATATTAAAACGGTTTAACAACACGGGAGAGCTGCAAATTCTTGCTAGAGAAATGTTTACTAGCAGAAATAAGTTAGCAGAAGAAGAAGAAGAATAAATGTCAAAAGCCGCCATTTGTTGAATTGGTTTAGCACAAACAAAAGTAAAATGAAAGGAAATCAAAATATTAATGATGTAAAGAAAAGAGTTTAAAACTGATTTATATTTAAATAGTAAAATTTTTATAGCAGAATAACAACTATTCACTTGCGAGTTTTTACTGGTTTTGTGTTCAATAACTTTTTGTGCTAGTTTTCTCTTCTTCTGAATTTTACGCTCTATTTTGCTTTTACGCTCTCGCTGCAATGTTTTACTGGAGAAGTTACTATACAAACTTAATAAAGGCATACGTTGTAGTTGTCTCCGTGGCGTAGCCGTCTTGGCAATAGTTACGACAATTCATTTTGGTAGTAGTGCACTTTAGTAGAACCAGGTCAAGATGGACGGACTAATTCAAGAGTGGTATCAATCGACGCGTCTTGACCGGCAATTAACATTTTTAATTCATTAAAGAGTTTTTGCAAAAACACTTTCATTTTTCGCACTATGTTTTGATGAATTTGATACAAAAAAATGGATTAAATGAACTCAACTGAACACTTATTTTAAGTTGTTATACATATGTGATGTTTTAAGTGCATATTTTTGCGAAATTCTGTTTTTAATTGCAAAATTCCGCTGTTGAAAATTCGCACAAACAATCTTGTGAAGTTAATATGTATAAATAAGATGGAGGAAAACTGTTGCTGCCCATCTGTTAATACAATTTGTATATCAACTTTAAAATAAACATAAATAATGTACAAGAAATATACTTTTGTGAAAAGGGGATTTCTGTTCCGTTTCTTCGCACGCAGAAAGAAAGGGTTATAATCCCTAAGAGCGGCCGAAGGCCGCCTATGCAGAAAAGTGTTCTCTGCAAAAGGTGTTCAGCCCCTTTTCTTTAGCAACACAGAAAGGTGAATTCTACGAAGTGAGGGTTGTAATCCCTAAGCGCAGCCGAAGGCTGCCTACGCAAAAAGAAGTTGGACGCACAAAAACTATTTTAATAGAGTGCCAGCAGCAATTTACCTCCATTTTATTTTTAATAGGGTGGCAACATGAGTTTTCCTCCATTGTATTTATATTAACTTCACAAGATTGTTGTGCGGATTTTCAACATTCGAATATTCCAATTAAATACATAATTTTGTGAAAATTTCCACTTAATACATCACAAATGTATAAAAACTATTAATTATACACAAATGTATAAAAACTATTAATTACGCAAACGTCAAAGCTGTGAAGCTGTGTTTTTTTTTGTGATCTGTTTAAATGTTTGTTTTATAGAGCTGTTTACGCTTAACAAAGTAAAAAATTAAAAAAAGTCTGAATAAACTTCTGGTGCGCAATTCAAAGATAAGTAAAATATCAAAACTTCCTGTAAATTTGAATAACTTTACTTAATATTCGTAATTCCATGTGCCGAGTATTTTATTTCATATAATACAGCGTGGCGACGAATAACTGTTACCCAGGTTTTGTTGAGAAAAAAAGGCCCTTTATAGATTTTGCGAAAAAAGTATTTTATTGTTAATTTTCAACAGATTTTACTTTAGTTGTATTAATCAGTTTTTAAATTTTAATCCTTATTTACATTTGCCAGCAATGTAAACTTTGAGAGAAAAGTTCATTTGGCACGCAGGTCTTCTTCAGTTAACTTATTCCATATCTTCTGTAACCATAGGCAAATTTTCTCCATTTTGAGTCCCTTATACCCCGCCTTTTGTCCAACATAAGGCCTCATACTCAAAAATCGAATGGACTCGGAACTGGTGGTTAGGACGGCCATTCATTCGACCAAGCTTATACAGTTTTTTTTTCTTTTTTGCATTTTTTTTATACAAAGCCTAAGAAAAAATACACCTGAAAAAGACTTGCGTGCCAAATGAACTTTTCTCTTAAAGTTTAAACTGCTGGCAAATGTAAATAGGCATTAAAATTTAATAATTAATTAGTGCAACTAAAGTAAAATCTGTGGAAAATTAACAATAGAATACTTTTTTCGCAAAATCTATAAAGGACCCTTTTATTTCTAAAAAAGACCAGGGTAACAGTTATTCGTCGCCACGCTGTATATTGTTGTTGTAAAATTGCTTTTGTTTGAGCACATTGAGTTTGCTCGTTTTGTCATTTCCGCTGTTTCATCTTTATCACAGCTGTTCGAGTTGTGTTAATTAGGTGTCAGATATACAGTGTATTTAAACCTGTTCGCTTCATAGCTTTCAAACTGATATTTACCAGCTGATTGGTTCTCTGATTGATACATCGTCTTCAAATCTGTTTTGCTTTTTTGCTTCTAAAACCTATAAATAAATATCATTTTAAACATGTTGTTCACTCCGTTCGCCAAATTGCAACCCTAACTTACCGCGTTCGTCAAAAAGCTCCGCTTACTATCCAGGCTCTCTGACGTTTAAGTAAGCCGAAGCTCTACCCTGAAATTGTCACATGTCATGTATTTACACCAATTGCCACGTTAAAAGCGACTATATGTGTCATGCTGGCTCTGCGATGGGATTGCCCACATAAAATGTGCTGGTTTGAGCGGTAAGGTATTAGACGCTATTAATGAAAGAAAGGGTCTTCGTTGGTCTTGTCAAAAATGTAGATCAACCGAAGTTGATTTATTTAAATTATTTAGGCAGTCCAGAAATTGTTTTTCTGAAATCGGGAAGGATCTGTCGGTGCTTGTTCAGAAATTTAAGCATTACGAAAAAATGTTTAAGTCTTTCACATGTCTAGACAACCCTCCACACTCTGAGGATAGCCCAGAAAATAAAGGTAGGCGTAGGTTGATAGGTAGGTTGGTTTAACAGTGTTGCCATCAACATCTGAAGCTGCACTGTCTAACTTAGTTCCTCCGAATAATTCGGAATCCGGCATATCAGACATCATTACCAAAAAGTTGGTTGTAATTCCTCCGAGAAGGTCGATCCTTGTCTCTAGATTTGCTAAAGACACTTCTTCGGATGATATAAAGTCATATATATCGACTAAAATTAGAACTAAAGATGTATGTATTTGAAAATTTAATTTTAAATACGATCGCGATCTTTTATAATTGATGTAGCTGCCGAAGATTTTGATTTACTACTAAATAATTCATTTTGGCCGACCGGTGCGTTTGTTCGGGAGTTTGAGTATAAACCTAATAAAAGTAATAACAACGTAGTTAAAATTTCTAATCTTAATTCGGATTCAAAAAACTAACTCGCAAGTCTAATTTAAGTATTTACTATCAAAACTTTAGAGGTTTGAATACCAAATTAACTGACTTATATTTAAAAGGTTTTGACTGCAATTATAATATTATTTCCTTGACCGAAACATGGCTCAAACCTCATATTTTTAATTCCGAAATTCTTCCAAATGAATATCAAATATACAGGAGTGACCGAGAGGGCAGAATCGGCGGTGGAGTTCTTTTTTCGGTGCATTCATCGATCCCATCCGAGGAAGTTAGGGTTCCTGTCATTGAATATACCGAATTTAAATGTATACGTGTACAGGCAGGAAAGATTTATATTTATTTAGCTCTTTGCTACATCNGAGTTCTTTTTTCGGTGCATTCATCGATCCCATCCGAGGAAGTTAGGGTTCCTGTCATTGAATATACCGAATTTAAATGTATACGNCGTCTCTGGTAAATTTTGGCCGTCGACCAGTGTAATTAGTCACGACTTTTTCCATTTCAGTGGCGATGTTTTTACGCTATTTTGCATTTCAGGTGACGATATGCAGCTAGTTTCTTTACTTGAGTCCGTAAATGCAATGCTTACGGCATCCGATTCTATNCATCGTCACTGAAATGCAAAAAGTAGCAACTTATTAAAAAATTCAAAATTCACTTTTTGATTGCTGTGATGGATTTCTTCAAATTACAACTCCCGACATCGTTTTATGAAAAAAAAATAATAATAACACTGGACCACAAATTTCAACTTTTTCTCTTTACCAGAAACGCCGTTATGAAATTCGTATGTAAAATCACCCCCTGATTCCGAAAATCAAGGTTATTTTTAATTTTATGGTACCGTTTTTGAGATATTTGCAATTTACCGTTTTTGCAAAAAAAAAAAAAATTCGGTCCACTTAATCATATATATCTCAAGAACGAATTAAGCAATTCCAAAACGGTTTGAAGCTTTTAAAAGGTAATAAAATTTTCTATAAGCTGTGCATACAACACTTTTTGCTAGGCCCTGTAGATTCAAAGATAACGAACAATNTGAAATGCAAAATAACGTAACATCATCGTCACTGAAATGCAAAAAGTAGCAACTTATTAAAAAATTCAAAATTCACTTTTTGATTGCTGTGATGGATTTCTTCAAATTACAACTCCCGACATCGTTTTATGAAAAAAAAATAATAATAATTAGTCACGACTTTTTCCATTTCAGTGGCGATGTTTTTACGCTATTTTGCATTTCAGGTGACGATATTCAGCTAGTTTCTTTACTTGAGTCCGTAAATGCAATGCTTACGGCATCCGATTCTATCATTGTTTTAGGCGATTTAAATCTGCCACACATTTCATGGAACATTATTGACACCGATGTTGTACCAGTTTCATAGATAGTTACAATAGGGCTGTTCAGGNGATCCTTGTCTCTAGATTTGCTAAAGACACTTCTTCGGATGATATAAAGTCATATATATCGACTAAAATTAGAACTAAAGATGTATGTATTTGAAAATTTAATTTTAAATACGATCGCGATCTTTTATAATTGATGTAGCTGCCGAAGATTTTGATTTACTACTAAATAATTCATTTTGGCCGACCGGTGCGTTTGTTCGGGAGTTTGAGTATAAACCTAATAAAAGTAATAACAACGTAGTTAAAATTTCTAATCTTAATTCGGATTCAAAAAACTAACTCGCAAGTCTAATTTAAGTATTTACTATCAAAACTTTAGAGGTTTGAATACCAAATTAACTGACTTATATTTAAAAGGTTTTGACTGCAATTATAATATTATTTCCTTGACCGAAACATGGCTCAAACCTCATATTTTTAATTCCTAAATTCTTCCAAATGAATATCAAATATACAGGAGTGACCGAGAGGGCAGAATCGGCGGTGGAGTTCTTTTTTCGGTGCATTCATCGATCCCATCCGAGGAAGTTAGGGTTCCTGTCATTGAATATACCGAATTTAAATGTATACGTGTACAGGCAGGAAAGATTTATATTTATTTAGCTCTTTGCTACATCCCTCCTAATTCCGCCGTAACAGTATATATCGTCACCTGAAATGCAAAATAACGTAACATCATCGTCACTGAAATGCAAAAAGTAGCAACTTATTAAAAAATTCAAAATTCACTTTTTGATTGCTGTGATGGATTTCTTCAAATTACAACTCCCGACATCGTTTTATGAAAAAAAAATAATAATAATTAGTCACGACTTTTTCCATTTCAGTGGCGATGTTTTTACGCTATTTTGCATTTCAGGTGACGATATTCAGCTAGTTTCTTTACTTGAGTCCGTAAATGCAATGCTTACGGCATCCGATTCTATCATTGTTTTAGGCGATTTAAATCTGCCACACATTTCATGGAACATTATTGACACCGATGTTGTACCAGTTTCATAGATAGTTACAATAGGGCTGTTCAGGATCTTGTACATATGCTCTTGGATTTGCATATTCGTTGCATTTGTAAATTCACAACAATAAAATGCACACGGTTGCCATGGCAGCAAGCAAAAAATATGCAAATGCAATTCCAACTGCAAATCCAAGACCATTTCCACAACATCCTGAACTGCCTTAATGTATTTCTGGAGGAAACGGCTGAACTTTGCCTTAAATAAATAAATATATGTATGTCCAAGTAAGTTTGGAAAGGTCTTGGATCTCGTGTACGCTGATGATGTTCCGAAGGCCTCTATTAATCGGTGTGATCCCCTAGTTTTGCCAAAGGAAGCATACCATCCCGCTCTTGAGTTAAGCTACGAAATCATAAATGAAATATGTACGTAATAACACTGTGCGACACTAAAAAATACCCGGGAAGTTATGTACATTTTCTGGTAGGTCTTTTCGAGTAAAACAAGAATCGAAATATAAAATCGTGATTTACCGTTAAAAAAAACGGTTTATGAACAGAGTTTCGGTTTATTGCCGGGCTTAAAAATAAGAAACTTGGGCCTTTCTAACGACATATATGTGAATAAAAAAACCTTAAGAGATATGTGTGTATTTACCCAGCAAACACCTTTTTTTACTTTCTTCANGTATTTGAAAATTTAATTTTAAATACGATCGCGATCTTTTATAATTGATGTAGCTGCCGAAGATTTTGATTTACTACTAAATAATTCATTTTGGCCGACCGGTGCGTTTGTTCGGGAGTTTGAGTATAAACCTAATAAAAGTAATAACAACGTAGTTAAAATTTCTAATCTTAATTCGGATTCAAAAAACTAACTCGCAAGTCTAATTTAAGTATTTACTATCAAAACTTTAGAGGTTTGAATACCAAATTAACTGACTTATATTTAAAAGGTTTTGACTGCAATTATAATATTATTTCCTTGACCGAAACATGGCTCAAACCTCATATTTTTAATTCCTAAATTCTTCCAAATGAATATCAAATATACAGGAGTGACCGAGAGGGCAGAATCGGCGGTGGAGTTCTTTTTTCGGTGCATTCATCGATCCCATCCGAGGAAGTTAGGGTTCCTGTCATTGAATATACCGAATTTAAATGTATACGTGTACAGGCAGGAAAGATTTATATTTATTTAGCTCTTTGCTACATCCCTCCTAATTCCGCCGTAACAGTATATATCGTCACCTGAAATGCAAAATAACGTAACATCATCGTCACTGAAATGCAAAAAGTAGCAACTTATTAAAAAATTCAAAATTCACTTTTTGATTGCTGTGATGGATTTCTTCAAATTACAACTCCCGACATCGTTTTATGAAAAAAAAATAATAATAATTAGTCACGACTTTTTCCATTTCAGTGGCGATGTTTTTACGCTATTTTGCATTTCAGGTGACGATATTCAGCTAGTTTCTTTACTTGAGTCCGTAAATGCAATGCTTACGGCATCCGATTCTATCATTGTTTTAGGCGATTTAAATCTGCCACACATTTCATGGAACATTATTGACACCGATGTTGTACCAGTTTCATAGATAGTTACAATAGGGCTGTTCAGGATCTTGTACATATGCTCTTGGATTTGCATATTCGTTGCATTTGTAAATTCACAACAATAAAATGCACACGGTTGCCATGGCAGCAAGCAAAAAATATGCAAATGCAATTCCAACTGCAAATCCAAGACCATTTCCACAACATCCTGAACTGCCTTAATGTATTTCTGGAGGAAACGGCTGAACTTTGCCTTAAATAAATAAATATATGTATGTCCAAGTAAGTTTGGAAAGGTCTTGGATCTCGTGTACGCTGAGTTAAGCTACGAAATCATAAATGAAATATGTACGTAATAACACTGTGCGACACTAAAAAATACCCGGGAAGTTATGTACATTTTCTGGTAGGTCTTTTCGAGTAAAACAAGAATCGAAATATAAAATCGTGATTTACCGTTAAAAAAAACGGTTTATGAACAGAGTTTCGGTTTATTGCCGGGCTTAAAAATAAGAAACTTGGGCCTTTCTAACGACATATATGTGAATAAAAAAACCTTAAGAGATATGTGTGTATTTACCCAGCAAACACCTTTTTTTACTTTCTTCACCTTTTTTTCCACTTTGGTGAGCTTTTTACGCACTATTTTATAAAAAATCCAGACTAGTCCTAAATCGGCTGTACAACTAAATTTAATAGCGAGTAAAACAAGTGTTTATTTTCAGAAATCGGATGAAAGTTTAAGGAGTTATTAAACTTTTTATGAAAATAAAATTTTTGCAAAAATATTATTTTTGGCTATACAACTCAAAAATGTTTTCTTGACCGCTTTTTTTTTAATTTGACGTTTTGTATGAACGCAAAGTATGATCATTCCGAGATCCGGATCAAATAGGCAGGAAAAACGTTTTAAACGTCCCACTGCATTTAAACCTAGGATATATGAAACTAAGGGGGTATTCTCACAGTCCTGCAAAGCCCTTGCACGGTGCACGGTTCGCACGGTTTGAAAAGCTGTCCCATGGAAAACCGGGTTTTTTCGTGCAATCCAGTCACCGTGCAAGGTCTTTGTAAGACTCCGAGAATACCCATAATTGTAAAAAAATTAGATGTAAATAGCAACGCTTTTTGTGATCTTAATGTGGTGTTCCCAAAATCAAGTGAAGCAAAAATAAAAGGAGGTATTAATTTTTTATCCTCTCATCTAATACTTTTTCATCAGTTTTTTCTCTTTTTATGAATTTTAGCTATTTTCATAGGACCTCAAATTTGTAAAATTATGAGCGAAGTGAGCTTTTTGAACAAGCTGAGCTCTGTAGAAAAGCATGCATGGAAGTGTTTTGTAGCGCTATGCAATAATTTCGTTGGATACCACAGAAGCGACGACTATGTTACAGTTGTTAACGAATTTTTGAATGCTTACGGTGGAATAGGTTTTAACATGTCCATAAAAATTCATTTCATCCATTTGAATTTGGACTTCTTCCCACATAATTTGGGACCCTTATGCATAAGAGCGCTATGGTATAAAAATGATATCAGAGGGAAGAAAAAATTTTTGTGTAGTATATTCAAAAAAAAATATTTTTACAAAAATTTTGTTTTCATAAAAAGTTTAATATCTCAGTAAACTCAGTTTTGCGGCATAGCTACTTTGCATTAATTCATATTTATGTAAAATTAAGAAGAATTTAATTAACAATCCTAAATCATTTTATGGTTTCGTAAATTCAAAGCGTAAAGTTCATGGTTTTCCGTCCGCTATGCATTATCGCAACACTGTGTCTAGCGACAGCCAACTCATTGTCAACATGTTTTCCAGTTCTTTAGGTCCAATTATTCTGTAGACTTCCCTATAAATGGAGACTATCAGTACGAGCTTTGTCCAATCAACTCTGCTTATATTCCAGTAATATCTTCCGATGAAGTTTTACACTATTTAAAAACCTGCGTCATTTAGGCCTGGACCTGGTCATATTCCGACCTGTATTCTTAGAAACTGCGCTGAGAACATCTGCGAGCCTTTAACAACTCTATTCAATTTGTCAGTAAAATATGGTGTTTTTCTAGGGTTGCCAGATTTTTATGCGCGAAATCAGTACGTTAGACTTTTTCATGCTAAAAAATCAGTACTTTTCAGTACATTTTTATTCAAAGCAAAATTATGAATGTAAGTAACAGATAATACTTTAAACCGCCAGAGTACTTGTTTTTAACAATATTTTGGTACATAAATAAAATATAGTTCATAAAAAATAAAGGTGTTATTCATTTTAACATGAGTGTACACACATTGTACACAGAAGCCAATAAATTAGTTTATAGTTATGACACTTTTGAATAGCAATAATGAGATAATTTCCATCTTCTGGGTTTAAATAGTCAAAGAATTCTATACATTTCATTTTAAAATTATTTTAGTATGAAGTTCACTTAAACAATTTTTTATTAGAGGACAGTTTTTCACTTTGCGTCAGGAAGCAAACTTTATACTTAAGATCCTCTCAGTTGCTNATGAAGTTCACTTAAACAATTTTTTATTAGAGGACAGTTTTTCACTTTGCGTCAGGAAGCAAACTTTATACTTAAGATCCCCTCAGTTGCTTCGATGGAACAAAATTAAAAATTTTTCAAATGTGGAAAAGTACCAATATTTAAGGACTCAATCTATAATTCCTTATGGCTTAATTAATTTTTTCAACCACGCAAAAACTTGGAAAGACTAAGAATTCGCTAAAACGAGTATCTAACTGTTTGTCTTGTATGCAAAACCTTTTACAATGTCAGTAAATTGTGAAAAAAGAATTGTAAGTTATAGGCACAAGCCATTCGAATATTCAAGTTTGTTGATATTAAACTGAAAGTTATATTCGAGATAACTAGCAACACTCGACAAAAAAGTCAGCCTACGCTACGAAAAACGAGTTACGAAAATTCGGGTTCTGGAATAAGGGGGTAAGTTATTTAAAAAGAAGGCTGACTTTTTTGTCGAGTGTTGCTAGTTATCTCGAATATAACTTTCAGTTTAAACGAAAAATCCACAAGCTGCAACCCTTGCGGAAACATGTGCAGCATTGCCAGCTGTCAGTTGTTTTTCGAAGACAGCTGAATGAAGGAAAACAAAGTGGAAAGGAATTAAAAAAAACACACTCCTCCTATGCCTGAATAACTGGTTCCCAATCCAGTTAATGCAATAACATCATCTTCCAAGCCATTGAAAATACGCAGTTTGTTAGGTCCACCACCTATTGCGCTTGATTCTGCCTTCGGCCGCGCTTAGAATTCTCCTTTCTGTGTTGCCTGAGTAGAGGGGCTTCCGCATGTCAAAACTATACAACATTTCTTGTGCATATCACTCCGGCTACGCCATCCACAGTATTTTTTCGCAGAACCCACATCGAAATATGCAAAAAAAGTGCATAGTGCATAGTTAATAAGTTAGTGGCCGGAAATTTGAAAATTTACTTTAACTAAAAGTTTAATCCTTTGGTTATACGTGTATGTTAAAGTATTTGGATTCGGGTTATGCGTTTGGACACAACAACCGAAAATCTTTGTACAAATAACTAAACCGGACCCAAGTTTCTCAATAAGGGGCATGAAAGATTATTTTTTGCTGGTTTATATAAAGCAGTGGATAAAAATATACGTATATGCGAAAGGCAGATTTATCAGTTTAAATGAACAACACTAATATTTCCTGCAAACACACATCGATTTACATCTTTTATCTCGCCTCCAACACAGAATTGTTTTCGTACAAAATTACGCAAAAAAGCTTACTCGTCCGTTTTTAGGCATGCCATTGTTACGAATTTCGAAAGTTTGAAAATACGATTCGGATTGCAGCATACTATTTCTATGATTCGTAGCGAATTCCGAATACGAAAGAGTTGCAGAATAGGGGTGTTAAGCTCCATCATATTATCGCAACTGATATGTAACGACCCGGCGATATGCCCATAAACGATTGATCTTTTTGTTATATTTATTGCTTGGGCATATCAAACATTATCTGAAACATGTTAACTATAATTAAATTATTTTCTTCTTACATTTTTCAGTACAGTTTAAGGAAGTTCCAACGTTATGTAAAAACCTTAGGAAAATCCTAAAGTATTTGGTTTGAATTGAAAATTCAGTACAAATAAGTACATATTTTGAAAAATCAGGACATTAGCGTACTGATTGAAGAAATGAATAAAATCAGTACAAGAGTTGAAAAATCAGTATTGTACTGATAAAATCAGTACGTCTGTCAACTGTATGTTTTTCCGTCAGCCTGGAAGGAGTCTTTCATAATACTACTTCACAAAAATGGCGGCAGGTCCTCTATAGAAAACTATCGAGGCATAGCGAAGCTCTCCGCTATCCCCAAATTATTCGAAGCAAACATTGTTAATCAGCTGACATATTCTATATCTTCTTCAATTTCACAATCTCTGTTCATATCTACTTATGAACAGCAACACGCATTTTTATACATGTATGTATGTGCATATGCTTATGTCCATGTGTTGCATCTTTGTAGGTACAATCGCAGTATATACGTATATTTTGGTGTATTCAAGTGTGCCCATATGTTGCATGCATCACAGGCATATTGTCCCACGCCTTGATGCAAAGAAAGAAATTAAATGTTTAGGTAAGGAAAAAGAAACCATGCGACTCAAGGACACTTATCACTTGGGTAAGAGATGCGTGAGTGCATAATTTGTGGCTTACGTTTATAGTCCGGGAGCCAGCGACATATTTTTGTCAATAATTTAAGTTCCGGCTTTTTAATATATATGACTCGTATGATGTCGCTATGAAGCGTACTAACGTTCCGCTGCGCCGTTCTGGGTGGGTTGGGCTACAGCAGCCTCTCACGCAAACAAAAAAAAAATAAAAAATATAATTATTTCAGTTTTGCTAGCAATGATATGAATGATAGAGTGTATAGTAAAGATCAAAAAAACGATGTTCAGCTGGCTGTATGTGGCTGGGTTATACTTCAGCTGCTCAGGTGAATACAAAAAAAAAATAAAATTAAAAAAATGTATGATTTTAGTTCGCACGAAAATTGGTCAGGTGATAGTTGATATGATACTTAAATCAAATCAAACGTTCAGCTGGTTGTATGCGGGTGGAAAAACGTTTAGCTGAGGCAGTGAAGGGCACGCGTAACTTTAATACGTCAACTGAACGTCTTTTCGCCCGCATACAGTCAGATGAAGGTTTTTTTTTTTGGGTTTAAAGTGATATCTGAACTATCGTATAACCAATTTTCACCTGAACTGAAAGAATGTATCTAAAGTTACACGTATTTACTCATGCAACCACCAACTTGCATCGATATATTAATACTCTTGTCTATATTGCTCATATTGGCGAGCATGACTAAGATATCAGTGTCGGAACACCGAATGATAACGTTAGTATCACTTTGTAATTTACAAATATGGTAAATAATCTTAGTGCCTGCCTCCTCGTGACAAGAATAAGTCAGTTGATGCTCGATACTTCGGATTATTTTACCATCTCTGACTATATACTTATGGCAAGCGTCACGGCACCATGTAATCCTCTGCCCAATGGTCAACAAAAAAATTAACAATAGCCTCTTTGAAGTTGACATTTTTCAACTCGCCTGTGAAGTCGGTCGGTCGTACTTGCTCAGACCCACTGATGCTAAAATTGGATTGGATTTGGTTATAATAATAATAGATTCGCGCTTACACATATGTATGTTCGTGTTTGGCCGAGCTTCTCCTCCGACTTGTGGCGTGCGCCTTGATGTTGTCACACAAAGCGGAGGGACCTACAGCTTTACGCCAACTCCGAACGGCGATTATATTTTTATGAGAAGCTGTTTTTCATGGCAGAAATACACTCGGAGGTTTGCCATTGCCTGCCGAGTGACGACAGCTATTAAGAAAAAACCTTTTTTCTATATTTTTTTGCGATGTTGCTTTGACCAGGGCTTGAACCCAGGTGCTGATGAGTGAAAGCGCGCACTGCTTACCACTACACCACAGCGGCCGACATTGGATTTGATTGACGGAAACATATATCGATCAACCTGATGATAAGATGGTGAGATTTCCAAAAGCGATTCTGATAGTGATTCGGATGACGACGCTACAAGCTCGTCAGCAGACCAAAGCGAGGAAGAAACCTAAATTTATTTATGTCTATATGCTATGTACAATATTGTGTACGTCAAATAAAAATTTTCATTGATAAACTTCTTCATTTATTAACATGCACGTCACTTGTACGAAAGTTGCATGCGTAAATACGTGTAACTTTAGATACATTCTTTCGGTTCAGGTAAAAATTGGTGATATGATAGTTCACATATCACCTTAAACCAAAAAAAAAACGTTCAGTTCGGGCGGAAAGACGTTCAGTTGACGTATTAAAGTTACGCGTGCCCTGAGAGTGCCGGTAATATATGTACCAGCTTTCTGCGTTACACCTTCACTGCCTCATCTGAACGTTTTTCCACCCACATACAGCCAGCAGTGATCGGACTCAAAAAAAAATTTGTGTGGTAGAATGTGGAAAAAAATGTGTTAGATTTCAATAAAATGTGGTAAATCTCAGGTTTTCGATCAAACTTTGTACAAAAATTAAAAAGTCTACACGGTTTCACCCAAATTGCAAGCATTTTAATTAGAATCTAAAAAAATTTAATGTTAGTATTATAAAGTGCAAAATTGAAATAGCAACTTGCGTTGAGTTTTGGAAAATTTTTTCGTTGACATTGTAAAGCAGATCCTTCAACATGAAGATATTTTTCAAACATATTTTGAAAAATTTCTGCAACCTTGCGGAGTGCTGCCAGCTTTTCTTTTTATCACATCAGGATGTAGCGAACAAATATGGCACGTTCCAGAAACCGCTACTTGGGATTTGACAATTCTCAAGTAAAAGTAAACAACGCTTTAGAAACTTTATATCCACTGAAATTTGCTAATACTTTCACAAAAATCACCGTTTATTATCATTTTCGCTATTAATTCTTTTTATAAATCATATATTTTGCAATTTAAAACAATAAAACCACGTCTCCTGTCAAAATATTGAATATTGAAAAAATTTACTATTTTACAGTTTATTTTACCCTTCCATTCTGCCTGTTCTTAGTGTTTAGGGNAAAATATTGAATATTGAAAAAATTTACTATTTTACAGTTTATTTTACCCTTCCATTCTGCCTGTTCTTAGTGTTTAGGGTTGGACAATTTTTTTTTGTATACACCTGAGCAGCTGAAGTATAACCCACCCACATACAGCCAGTGAACATCGTTTTCTTACTCTATACTATACACTCTACCATTCATATCATTTTTAGCAAAACTGAAATAATTAAATTATTTTTATTTTTTTTTTTTTGCGTGGGAGGCTGCTGTAGCCCAACCCACCCGTGGTGCCGCAGCGGAACGTTACTAGGCTTTATAGGAGCATTGTACGATGCATTGAATGAATATGAGCAAAACTAAAATTGGTTCGCAAAAATCTGTCGCTGGCTCCCGGACTATTAATGTTTCCCAAGAAATTTTTAACTATAGGTTGAGTAGAGCACGGATGAGCGTAGAATGGCATGCGGAAGGATATCAGCTAGATTTAGAATATTTCACCGCCCTATTGAAGTTGAAACTTGTGATGTGCTTGTTAAGGCGTGTTGCATCTTGCATAATTTTTTACGTAGCCAATCGAGAAACCTCCATATTTGGATCAGAGTTTTGCGCAAAGCTTACCAGCAACTATGCCATCTTTGCCACTGCAAGATCAAAGTGGATAGCGGTATGTCTGCTAAATCAGAGACAACGTGTGGAACTATTGCATTTCTGACGGTAATGTTCCATTTCAGTGGACGAATACTAAAAATGTACCATTAAATATAAATAAAGCAGAGTTATGCATTTTATAATAATTTTGGAGAGCCCTAAATTATAAGCAAATGAAAATTCAAAAATCGAGCTCGAGCGACCTTTAGGACATTTATTCTAAAAAAAGATCTAAAATCGGTTAACAATTGGAAGCTCTACGCCACTTTGTTACAGAAATAATCAATATGTTTTGCTCAAAATTATAAGTCTCTGAAATATAATCCAAATTCGAAAATGAAACAGTGTTTATATCTGAAAATGAAACAGTGTTTATATTTACGGTCCAATTACATTCACCTATTTCTTTCAAAATATTCGTAAGTATAGAGTAAGATTTACTGTAGGTTTCAAAATTGTAGAACTGTGTTATTAAGCTACATATATACTAGCAGACCCGGCGAACTTCATCCCGCCCAATATAAATTTTTTTGTATTGAAACAATTTGGTCCAACATTTTCACCAACAGTTCACGTCCTTGATTTTCAATGACGCAAGATACGTAATAGTCTCAGTGCGTTTGAAAGGCGCCACCAATAACTCCAATTTTTCTACATAACTATGCGATTGATGTCATATACCTCCATACCATATTGGAGTCCTCTGCAATGAACACCGCCAGAGATATGCAGTATGAAAAATTCGATTTATATGGGAGGTGCCACGCCTCCTTTTCCGATAACCACAATTTTTGTCCATGTTAATGCGATTGCTTTCATTTATCTCCATACCAAGTTCGAGTTCTCTTCCATTAACACATCCAGAGATATGCAGTGTGAAAAATTCGGTTTGTATGGCAGGTGTCACGCCGCTTTTTCCAATAGCCCCAATTTTTCTTCATGACTATGCGACTGATTTTATATATCTTGTAAATACCAAGTTTCAGTACTCTACCATGAACACTTCCAGAGATATGCAGTATGGAAAATTCGATTTGTATGGGAGCTGCCACGCCCCCTGCACCTAGCGGTATGAAATATACTTTACATCCGATTCTCATACCTACCATATACACACAAAAAAATTTCATAAAGATCGGTCGAGCCGTTTAGGAGTAGTTCGACCACTAACACCGTGACATGAGATTTTTATATATTAGATAGTCAGTGCCAAATGTCAATATACACCATAGGGGAGATTCTGTAACCAGTTAGCCACAAGTTTCGGATCGCTATCGCACTTGTTGACGTAAAAATATTAATATCATATGTCAACAAAAGCGATACCTATCCGAAAATTGTCGCTAACTGGTTACAGAATTTCCCCCCTTGTTCTAATATAATATTCACCATTGTTTTCATGAAAATGTTTTTCATAAATTATTTATGAAAACATAGGTCATTCTACAACTTAAACCATGATATAATTTAAAGTTTTACACTTTATATAAAGTTCACAAAGGGTCAAACAATTTTCATCAAAATTTCTAAATTCAAGTCGCTAAAAATTATGGTTGATTTTTTAGAATTTTTTTATGGAGGTGATCATATCGACTGCTGAGTGGAAGATCGACCTATCTCGGCAGCCAGTTCGAAAATGCTCTATTTCAAACCACTTTTAAAGACGCCCTATTTCACAAATTGATTGAAAAAAACACCCTATCTCAGAATTTGTTTGAAGAATTTTCGAAATTTTGATGAAATTTGTTGAGTTTTTCTAAATTGTGTATAAAGCTTGAAGCTTTGATTTATATGGGTTTTGCATAAAGCATGAACAATACTTTTATAAAAAAAAAACAAAAAAAAATAACTTGAAAAAAATATTGTGAATAATAAAAAAAATTAACATGTAAAACTTTTTAGAATAAAAGTATATAAAAAAAAACGCAATAAATTCAAAATGAAAAGAAAAATCAACAAACAAAACGAGGAACAGTTTAATTAAAAAATAATACAAAACCATTCTCATTAGATAAATTGTTATCACATTTGGGTTTAGAAAATCACCTTTCAGTAGTTTTTCCGCTTTCATTCTAATGAAATATCTGCGTCAGCCAAAGCCGTTTTGAGAATATTCAATCATATCTGAGTGCGATGACATGGTTTGTGAAAGAACTAACGTGTTCATCACCTTTGTCCNATCTGCGTTAGCCAAAGCCGTTTTGAGAATATTCAATCATATCTGAGTGCGATGACATGTTTTGTGAAAGAACTAACGTGTTTATCACCTTTGTCACCCATCGTTTCTGTTGCGCTAGCGAGTGGCAATTGCTGCACCTGAAAGGCAATAGTGCTTCCGAAGCTTGTAAAAATATTTTCGGGTTCTGCAACGGATGAAATGATGGCGTCAAGTGCCTTGTCAAAGTTTGCTCCTTATCTGGCTTGCGGCGGCAAGATGAGGTGGATAAAGTGGAGGACGTTGATGAGAAGGGCCTAATAGCAAGCGAGTTTGGAGATACTTGTGGAGGAGAAATTTGTATTAATGTCTCATCTAAACCTTCATCTTCAAGACACTTCAGTTTCCAACTCAACATTTTCCTGCAATCAGATATATATAGTACATATATGTCCAAAAATAGTTAAAATAACTATACAATTTTTAATATACCATTTCCAAGTTGCTCGTCGTTTTCCGTAGCACAATAACAGAATCCAAAAATTTCATTTCGTTATAATAATATAGGTGGGGCTCATATAGTGTCTCAGCTCCTTCACCCGATTACTTTGAGTTATCCACTTTTTTCTTTTCAGCAACATAGGTTGTCCGCAAATTTTTATTTTGCGTTTTACCTCTTCCACATCTTTTCCCATTTCTTTTGCGATATGCAACCAAGCTTTTCTTTTAAGGTCCACAATTTTTATGCTGCAGACTTGAAGTTCCATAGACATTCATTCTCCCTAAATAAACTAATTAATCTAAAATATCTGATGGACGTTCCATTTCACAATGCCGAATTCGTAAATCCGCACAAAAGTTTATTTTTTCAATGCAAATGGTGCGATAAAATGAAAATTGAAAATCGCGCGGTTTTTTATTAAAAATTTTCATTTATATATACATATATTAAATGAAAGAAGATACCGAAAAGCATTGAACACTGCACACACCTTGTAAGGAAAAGTGAATTATTGTCATCCTTTTTGCTTGTTTTTGATTGGTCGAACGTATTTACATTTCTTTCTGTTTTGACAGTCTAGGTTTCTCAAGCAACAACAAAATACATGGCAGGGTCGTGTTTGCTCTACGGCCATTACCTGTTTATCTAAATAATGTAAAATAATGAACGAAATCTCGATCGGTGAACACAGAAGCGCAGCTAGCAACTGTATACGTGAAAAAGCAATGTTGCCACTTTTTCTCATTAAATCATGTTCGAATCGTGGAAATTTTAGAAGATCACAGGGTTGCTTTTAGCATTTAGATTCTTAATGCAGAAATGGAGTTGCATTTAATTGCATTTAGGTGACGAATTTTGTATGGTTAAATGTACTTTTAGAGCTAAATGCGCTAAATAAGTTACTGTTTACTTAGGGTTTACACCGGACAATACTGTCATGACAATAGAAACACATACACACTTCTTCACTAATACATGTATACTTCTTCAATTGTCTCAATCACTGTCATGATTATTTTGAAGACAGTAAATCGGACAATGATTTGACGTATGCAGACAATAATTTTGACGTCTTGCGCAAGAAAGAAGATAAATTCATAACAAAGTAACTACAATAATTAAAGAGACGCTGGTGTGTATGTAATTGTGTCTCTTCTTTCTTATTTTTTTAGTTTTTATGCGTATTTCTGCAACTTATAATTCAACGTTCACGTTCGACATGCATCGTTCACGTTCGACGTTCAAAATGAATTAGCTAACTATTGTCAGGACGCCTACGTCTTGGAGACAATTATCAGCCTTTTTGGCAACTATTGCGTATTTCTTTATTGTCCTTACAGCATTGTCCAATGTAAACGCGCCGTTACACCGGACAATACTGTCATGACAATAGCAATACATGCACATGATTCAATAGTTGTGTTTAATGAGACCGAAAAAAGTTCCGAGCAGCTCAAGTTAGAGCAGAATCGAGCAGATGTCAAAAAAAACAATAGAGCAAGTTAGAGGAACTCAGTTCACAAATCTCATGAAACACTTTTCAGGCTAGAGCAGCGCATTAAACACAACTAATAATTAAAGGTTTGCTCATTATTGACATTCGAGTTTTGACACTTCCTTACAAAAGCTTTGCACACACTCACTAACCCACACACAGTGCCTTGCTAAGGGAGCCGACTTTGTCAAGAGGGAGCGAGAAAACTGTTTTCTGAGCAAACCTTTTATTATTGAATCATCCCAACAAATATTTAGATTTGAGGTCAACCAGAGGTTAAGTAGAGAACTAAGGTATTTCTCAAATCTCCAACGTTTTTTCTCAACAGTATCTCAAGTGAAGGATCATAGCGTTCTCAACGAAAAGGGCATTGTTCTTTGTATGAAAAAATAACTGTTTCTCAAGTTGAGAAAATGCTCGTTCCCAACTTGAACTCCAATGGCGCGTATTCATAGTCCAGCACTAAGTCGAAACTAACAAAGTTGAACTTAAATTTAAGTACCAACTTAAAATTCTACCTCTATTCATAGTCGCATTTCAGACTTCTACTAAGTAGTTACTTAGTTTACGATATTAGCAAAACGAGTGTGAAAATGTATCGATTTTTCTTTACGATATTTTGGAAAAATTACATTTTTATTAAATAATGTCGAAGTTTGATCATCCGTTTATGTAATTTTTACTTTTCATTGCATGTATTATGCAAAAGAATAAGGTATAATTTTCTTGTTAATTGTGTGAAATAGCCAGAACAACCGCATGATGTGAAGTCGATGTTTATCGAAAGCTATGCTGTGAAACATACAAATATAGATATCTAAATGTTATGCACTAAATTTACTTTAAAAGAACAAGCTGAAATCTGACATATTACTTGAGAATTTATTGCTAAATTATTCAATTATAAAATTGTGATGCTTAGCCTTTATTCGAATTGTAATACAGCATTTAATTTCATCTTCCATTAAAATGGATCGTCTTTGTAAATTTCAATTGGAGATCTATTGATATTATCAAAATCACGCTCTACCAACTTAATTTTTACATATTTCGTCTTTGTTTTCCCTTAATTTAATAAAATACTTACTTCCTAGTTACGACTTAAGTTGCAGCTGCAGCCGAAACTAAATTTAAGTTGGTACTTAGCCAGAAAAGTCGAAACTAAGGCGACTATGAATAGCTTTAGTTGTAACTTAAGGCCTGTATGCAGCTCTCAAGAAAAGCAAAAACTCCATATAAAATGACGTACAAGAAATGGCTAAGAAATTTTCTTGAGTCAAATTTCCTTCAGGCAGTACGCAGTTCTTAAGAAATTTGCTACGCTTTTTACTACGGTTTTCTAAAGTTTTTTTGTGAAAAAAGAGCACAAGGCAACCCAGGTTTGCAACAGAAATATATGCCCGTTCTATTATTTCTTGAGGAAAGAGTGAGGCAACAGGCTGTGACGTATCAAAAATGTCAAAATTCCTTGGACACACACGCGAAATAATGGCAATTTTTCTTGACCGTTTTCTTGAGAGCTGCATACAGGGCTTTAGGATAGTTTCGACTTAGTTGTGAACTAAATATGACAATGAATATGCGCCAATGTAATTCTCCTAATTGGTCTCAAATATATCATTGTAATACTGAAATTGAAATATTAAAATACCTTGTGCCTTTTTGATTGAAACGACATACATAGATGAATTGAAATATTAATTTTTCATTTTATTATTCCTTTTGTGTTATGTAGTTAATCAATATCGTATTACAGTAATTCACTTCACAGTGTACAGGGTAACAACCGCTAAAAAAAGGTCCGGGGAAGTCGGGAGGGGTACCGAACGACGCGTTTCGGTCCCCCTATTAACAATCCGGAGGGGGAGGGCCAATATTATTAACCATTTAAAAGTTATAAACAAAAAACTTTTGTTAAATTTCGTTGTTTTGTATGGGCAATTACCCCGACAAAAATTCACTAAATCACCTGTTCTCACTTTTTATACACTATTAAAATATATAATTTAACTTAATTATTAAACAAACACATAGTTTTATCAACCTAGGATAAATTATTTTGTTACTAAAAAGAAATTGACAATCTTTGCGAACTGAAACGCGAGATTCCGAAATAG